TCAACAATATATGTTTTTGGCACATCCATTTTCCTTCAAATGTCTTGAATTTGTCCTTTTTTTACAACTGAGTAGAATTCAATTATGTATAGACACCACATTTTCTTTATCCATTCTTCCGTTAATAGGAATACAAGCTGCTTCCTGATTTAGCTAGCTGTCAGAAATTGAGCTCCTATGAACATTTTTCTACTTAACCTAACAACAAACACCTATAAAAAAAAACAAAAACAAAAACAATAGTTTCAGAACATAGGGTAAATTTCATACCTGGGAATACTAGGCCTCTGACCTGTTTTGCTTCCTTCCTCTCTGTTTTTATTCTTTTTAGTTAATGACAGAAAAGAAAAAAAAATCCACTCTGCTGTCTCAAAATTCAACTTTTAACCAGCTATCAAATTTCAGATTGATTAGTATTATTTCCAAGAGTCCTACTTTCACATACACAATTGCAAGAGCCTTATCCCCATCCCTAACCCAAGACTTAGATTGTGCTTCTAATTAAAGCATCAGGACTGAACATAATTTACCCTGGCATGCCTTAATTTAGAAACAAGTTGCAAATCCTGTATATAGCTCCGAAACTTGATTCTGAATACTCACTGATCCATCTTCTTATCTTCCAGCTTGGTCTCACCTATGAGTCATCCACTAACATCTTATTAAATTGAAAAGAACAAATTACAAGATTCAAACAACAGACTGACTTACCTACATGATCTCGATTTCACTTGTAAATCTGATGTTATCCAAGATATTCCCCCTTTTATAACTACCTTAACCAATGTTATGTACCTATATGTAGGCTGGTTGAAAATAAAAGGAAATTAGCAACTGTAATATTAAATTCGAGCAAAGCTAACTGATAGTTCCGAGATTTGAGATTCAGTGTAGCCAGGCCTCTGAGGCTAAGCTCTACACTTCAATCCCTACAAATACACATCCACTTCCAGAAAGTGCTCAGATCACACCAAATGAATGAAGGGCAAACAAATGAAGTGACTGCTACAATCACTGCAAACCTCATAGGCACTGAGGTCAAATTGATCCTAACAGAAAAGCAAACTAAGATTCTCACTAGTCCTCTTCCAGGATGCATCATTTCCCACAAAAATGAGAAGCCTCAAAACAAGCATTCTTGACAATCTGTATTTGTCTTTTGCAAAGAAAAAGAAATTTATAACATCTACCAAAAAGTCAGAGAGCCAAGCAAAACTCCAGCAGCACCTGGTTCTTCTCAATAAAAGCATGCATCCCCAGAGCCTCACTGTTTGATAGAGAACTAAGGCAAAACCAAAAACATGGGCCATCTGGTGCAGTGGCAGCAAGGTCAAGGGCAAATTCAGAAGAGGCTCTGTTGGAAATGGCAGAATCCACACCACTGTGGGTCTCAGTTTCCCTGTCTCCAAGAAAAGGTAATTAAGGGGCTGGGGATTTAGCTCAGTGGCACAGCGCCTGTCCGGGAAGCACAAGGTCGTGAGTTCAATCCCGGGTACTGGAGAAAAAACAAACAAACAAACAAAAACAACAACAAAAAGAAAAGGTAATTAATTCATTCAGTAAGTACTTAAAAAGACTGTATCTGGATGCCTGGCGCCAGGGTTTGACTAAATGATCTCTAAGGTCCCTTTCAGCCATGAATATCTTATAATTCTCATAGTCACACTTAGTAGACATTCTTTTGGCTCTGATCTGAAAATCTGGCTGGAAATATAAACAGACTTCTACATAAAAACACACATTTACCAGCTATAATTTTGACTTGGCAACATGAGGTTTCACCAGAGCTGAGATGAAAATGTGCAAAATTTTTTCCAGTGATCATATTTCTTTAGGCTGCATTATAGTTCATCTCCAAAGGTGGTCTAAGTATGGCCAGAATAAAGCCAAGTCACTCTTCTGCCAAAGTTACCATTATGCAAGGGAAGGACATGTCCATGTTTTTAACTTGCCAATAGTCTTCCATATGAAGAGTCTCAAAAATAACACACTCTCTCGACCAGATTTGTCCGTTTCCATTTGGCAAATCCCACTTTATTTTTTATCTCCCTCCCTTCTGTTTTACGGAGAACATAAGCCAACATGGCAACAGGCTTTTTGTTTATTTCCTTCCTCTTCAAAAACAAAGCCATGGCTTGAGTACATTTATCAGAACAAAGTCCACACAGAAAGACACTTTTCTGGAATTTTATGAAAGCCTCATGAACAAGATGAGGATGGCCACTTTCACCAGTTCTATTCAGCACAGGACTGAGAGTCCCAGCCAGAGCTATTGGGTAAAAAAAGAATTAAAAGGCATCCAAATTGGAAATGAGAAAGTCAAATTGTCCCTATTTGCAGACCATATGATCATATATATAGAAAATGCTAAAGATGCAACAAAACTCTATTAGAATTAATAAATATATTTTGTACAGTTGCAGGATGCAAAATCAATGTCCAGAAATCAGTAGTGTCTCTATCTGAGAAAAGCAAACTACTGGACAAACAAAGTCCCCTTTATAATAGCTACAGAAATAAAATAACCCACTTATGAATGAATTTTACCAAAGGAGGTAAAAGAGCTCTAAAATGAACAATACCTGACATTGATTAAAAAAATTAAAGAGGTCACGAGCAAATGAAAAGGCATCCTGTTTTCAAGGAAGGGATGTAATGATGGTTTTTGTTTTAATGGGACTGACTAGTGAAGTCTACTATTCTTGCTTTTTTTAGTTTTGGATACTAATATTTATTATTATATCAAAATCTCCGTACATAAAGCTATGTCAATTTAACAATCTCAAATTCATTTTTATGTCCTCTAATTATCAAAACTTGGTGTATTTACCTTTGTTTGTTAAAACTATAAATACAATGGAACCAAGTGGGGCCCGATCAAATTTGCTCAATGAGAAGAGCTGCTCGACTAGTTTTCAAACACAAGTTTTCATTCATTAGGTCAAACAACTTTAACAAAAGTAAAGGTTTTAAAATGCAACAAAATAGTTTCCATAGCAATCCAGGTGAGAAGACAAGTGACTCTTTGAACTGTGCACAGTAACAATACGCAAAGAATGTCACAGACAAAATAAGACCAAAGGTATATAAAAGGTAAAATCAAGGGGTTTTATTATTCTGCACTTATTTTTAAAATTTTTTTGTTTGCAAAACAAAAAAATTAACAAAACAACAATGAAGACCAATCAAAACAACACACACACAAAAACAAAAATGATAGGTGACCTCCAAACAAAATGATAGGAATTAACAATGGTTGCTACATTACATACTGTTATCTTCAACAAAGTTGCTCAGTCCACCAGATTGAAGAATGTAAGGTTGATCAAACAATCAAAGACAGTAACGAATAATAATAAAAAAATAAACATTGGAAATGATGCAGAGCTTCATCATACGAGATAGTAGGAGTTCAACAATGGTTCTTATACTGCATATTGTAGCTAAAGGTTCTTCTACCTAAAATAAACATAAACTTTGTAGAAATCTTGGCTTATTGACATCTGAATTTTGGATTTCATAGCTCAGAGCAAAAGAAATATAGGAAACTTGTGCTATTTATGCAAAACACAAAATTTGTAATAGTATTCAAAAGATCTAGACTCAAAAATGAACTGAAACTTGGCAATATATCTGGTACTTACTAATATTGACAGATCAATATTATTAAAAGCTTCGAATGACATCAACTCCATGAAAATCTCCACAGGAAACCCATATGGCTCATTCCTTCTTCTTCTCATTCAAGTCTTTGCTTCAATGTTACCTTCTCGGTGAGACCTTACTGACCACACTCACTCTGGGAGTATCCATTTTTCCTGACTTCCCCTAACACCCAGTTCCTCTGTACATTATAATGCATACTTTGTTTATACCCACTAAGGTGCTAACCCCTAAGTTCCAGGAGCACAAGCTGTATTCATCTACTTTGCTACAGAATTTCTAGTACTTGAATAATGGTCATTTAGGGAAACATGTTTGTGGAATGAAGGAATCATTTCTTTATTTCCCTTGACCCAGTACTTAAAGAAAATAAGCAAGAAAACAGACTGTCCTGCTTAAACAGTTCATCTCTATGGCCTTTCTTCCTTTATACTTTTTATGCAAAATTTTAAACACTACAAGGGTAGATGGAACCTAATGGTTGTAAACTTATAACTAACCTCTTTTTTGCCCGTGTTCTCATTTAATAGTTTCATACTCTTGCTATCTGAAAGCAAATTCCAAATGCCATTCCACGCATCTGGAAACACTTCTCTAAAAGACATGTACCCTATTTTATTCTGCAGTATAGCTATACTAACATCATCATATCTAAGAATAAAACAATACTTCTATGATTTTGTTAGTGGTATGTGGTGATGCGTATGACATATTGAGTCTAAATGGTGGCACTAGTCATCAGATAACTATGATCAGCCAAAGAAGTACTTCTAAGGTCACTTCTGGGTTCACCCCTAAATTTCTTTGCAAGCTGCACTCTCTGGAGCACCGTACTTCGACATAATCGATACATATCTAAAATACACACCCTTGAACTTAAGCCTCGGAAAACCCTGATGATTTTTGTTGTTGCTTTTGTTAGAAAGATGTTACTGACAAACTAGGACCCGCACTGACCAAGCAGACTGCTGAAATATCAGCCTTAGTCTTCTAGGATGCAATGCTTGTGGCTAGAGCAGGGGAAAAAGGCTATAGAAAGGCCTGGGTGTCCCTCAGTTAATGAGAAAATGTGGACTTTTCAAACAGCATTCCTAAAAAATTGCTTTGGTTTTGAAACAAAATTAGTAGGTAAAAAGATTTCTAGGGCTTCAGAGTGTAAGCCAGCATAACACTGAGAAGCCCGAGCTGGGCATTCTGTATTGAAGTGCTTTAGCTCCTTGCAAGCTGCAAAGCTCTGAATAGGCTCTGGACAAATGTTTATCCACCGGAGAAACAATCAATGAATTCATGAGTTTCCAAGCATGGCTTATAAACATGGCTTCAACCATAGCTCTTACCTGCACTTTGAAAACACCTTCATCAAGGGCTGGGGGAGGTGGGAAGTTTCCAGATCCAGAGGGAAGAATGTTGGGATCCTCCAGAGGTGGAGGAGGGGGTGGGAAGAAATCACCTGCAGAAGGAAATCCACACATAACGTTAACAGGGATGCAGTTTTCTAATAATTTTTTTAAAAGATGTATTTGCTGGCATTTTGCTCCCTTTGTAATTGGCTTTGACGTGTAATTTTTTTGCCTTGGATAGCAATTATTCCCTATCTCAGCTCTCCTCAGTTTAATTAATAGCCTTAACTTTCTGAGGAAGGAGGAACAGAGTTGATATTTAGAAGTGGCACAAAAAAACTAGTCTAGCGGGTTCAAATAAATTTCGCAAGAGGAGAAAATGTGCTTGGGTCGGGGAATGGGATTAACAAATTACGTAAGATTTGCTTGCCCTCAATAAATTTGTAATCAAGTACAGGAGGAAAAAATATGAATATAAGCAAGGGAAATATAAGATACATTGTAAGAGAAATACAAAACAGAACTTTTGGAAATCACCACAAAATGAAGCTTATGTCCAGGAAGAAAAGCAAAGGGGACTTACTGAATTATATAATTGTCCTTGAACTTTATGAGATACAGAGCAAGCATATTTTGGGCAGAAAAAGCAGGAAAATATAGGTATATCAGCAAAAAAATTTCAGCAGGTAGAGAACAAAATGCAAGCCATAAAACTGCAATACACTGGAAAGTAAAATAATATCAGTAGGTGATAAAAATGGGAAAAGTGTGGAATACTCTAGTGTGATGGTCACCTAGAAAAGAGTTTAAATTGTATCATTCATGGAAGGTTCTTTGGTTAAAATATAATTTACTAAAGTTTAAAAATACATGCAGCATACATGAGAATTATTGGTGGCAATGTAGACTGGTACAACCACTTTGGAAATCAGTCTAGAGATTCCTCAAAAAATTAGGATTAGAGGTTCCATTTAATCCAGGTATTCTCTTTCTGAGTATTTTCCCAGAAGAATTAGAAACATCATACCACAGCTAGATACATGCACTCATGCTTATAGAAGCATAATTTGTCATAACAAAATCTTGGAAACAAGCCAAATGCCTATCAAATGAGGAATGGACAAAAAAGATGTGGTATTTTTATGCAATGGAGTATTGCTCTGCTACAAAGAAAGATAAACTCAAGGCTTATATATGTAAATGGATGCAACTAGCGGCCATACCCATAACTGAAATAAGTCAGACTCACATGTGTAAACAGCATATTGTCTCCCTAGTGTAAGAGCCTGACAGAGTAAATAAAGTTTGAAAGGTACAATAGATATTGTGAAAGGGAAAGAAACTGCTCATAAGGAAAGAACAACTGGGATGGCATATCAGAGAAAAAAAGAAAGAAGGAAGGGAATATATATATATAAGCATATATATATATTCAAGATTGCATTAATTTCTATTGGTTTACTGAAAGGAAGAGTTAATGTTTGTTTGATCAGTCTTGCAAACCTGTATCTGGTAATCTAAGCAACTACTTTCAAGAGAACAATATGTAATATGACAATTGTTATTAATTTTCTATCACCTTGTTTTGAAATTGTGTATCATTTTCATTGTTTTGGGTTGTTTTATTTTTGTTTTTGTTATTTTGTGTTTGTTCTTTGCTCTTAAAAAAAGAAAAAAGACTCAATGGAAATCTAAATACAATCCTGGCAGTAAGTAACAAGGCTCAGGATATCAAGAAATAGCAACATTTCTGACCACCAAGAACAGTTGTTAAAAGCACATCTAATCACTAAAATCTGAGATATAAACATACATCTATGAGCTACACATTTCATGGTATGGAATATTTTAAAAAGAGTTTTTGGGAAATTTTATTGCATAAACAGAAACTTCCTCTTTTAATACTTTTTAAAATAATTTTCCTCTTCCCTTTAAAAATAATGTTTTTGGGTTTTTTTCAGAAAGTATTCTCCTCCATTTATGAGTAAGTGGCTTTTCCTTGCCTTTCAGCTGTTCAAGATTTAGTTCCTCTTACATAGTAGCAAATATTACAGCAGAGATCTTTGGAGAAAGAAGAGACTAAGAATGAAAGAAAGGGACAGTAAAAAGATGGCACACGGGCATGGTCCTTCTGACACACCACTGAAATGCTCCCTTGGTCTCCACTGGCTTTATAAATAACAGTGTTAGAATTTGAAGAGTAGCCAACAGGTCCTACGTCCATCCCCCAGCCAAACTCAGATTGCCAAGGAGTCAAATGCACTCCTGCTAGAATACTCAACTTAAGACAGTCTCGCTGTGTACCAGGCAATGTGCTAAGATTTTCACATACAACTTCTAAAGCACACAACCCTTATGTCGGTAGTTCTCAAATTTCAGTGTTCATCAAGATTTCTGAAAGGTCTTGCTAAATACAGATCTCTGGATCACATTCTCATAAATTCTGATTAATTCAGGCGGGAGAAGGGTCTAATAGATTGCATTTTTGGTAAGTTCTCACGTGATAGTGATACTATTGGGTCTGAGAACACACGCTGAGATTCACTACCTTAAGCACAATTTCATATTATTCCTACTGTAGACCCACTGCATTAAAAGGTTCAAGAAGTTATGTCATATTAACATTTTTTTTCCATTTTTCTTACTCTTGAAGGTAGCAAAAATCTGGAAATATCTTTAGCTCATAATATTTATGAATTCCATGAAGTTTTCATAAACACTGGTTACATACTAGAATCACCAAGGAATATTATCTAAAAGTGCTGACGTGCACACTCTATCTCCTACCAATTCAATCACAATCCTGGGGTTTTGGTAACAGGAGTGGGGAGAATAGATAAGGCACCAGTACTCTGTGAAAATCCAGGGGATTATAATGTGCATCCAGGATTTAGAAACTCTCCTTTGGCCAGAGACTGCATGAAAAAAATATTGAAAAGCCGTAAGAAATAACAGTCACCAAGTGTTTTTCTGCCTTTGAAAGTCATTACATAGGACAAAAATCCATGCAACATAGTCTTCAGTAGTGAGACAAAGAAAAGGTAAGGTTCTGAAGGTATTACTGCTCATTTTGAGGGGTCTGGTACCAGGAATCAAACTCAGGACCTCATGCTTGCTAGGCTTGACTACTAACTTGAAGTTCACAATCTAATACTCAAGTTCAAATGCTCTATCTGGATCTGGATCTTTTCATGCTCACCTTAAAAGAAGATTTTTGAGTACACCTATAATTCACCAGATTCTGTTATGTCATGAGAAACTGTGAGAGTATCTGATAAAACTGAATGAAGTCTCGGAGATCATATTACAAAAGGAGAAACAAAGGCCCACAGAAGCCACATGAATAATCCAAAATGTCACAGCAAATTAGTTTTGAAATGGAAACTACAATTGCCTCTCTCCGGAATTTTTTCCAACTCTATTCCTCTTCATTTTATTTCTCTAATAGAACATAGTGAGGCACAGACTATAGTCTGAGAAGGTGAAAAGAAGTAGAAGAGGAAAATGGAATATGTGTTTTTTAAAAAAATAAAACCAACAGACATCATCGTTCTTGGCAGAATTTGACAGATTGCTTAAAGCCCTAGTGATAACTTCATCATCATTATCTGCTTTATTTAGATCAGTTACTAAGTCAGACCAAAATTTTCAGTGATTCAAGCTCAACATCAAGGTCTTTGTACAGCATTCTGCAGTAGAGCACACATGTGAAAACTATGGAGAATGAAAATGCCTAGAGAAGAGAAATATGGTAAAGGGAGAGAAAATAGGTACTTTGGAGGGATGGATGAATAAATTGGGATAGTTGGACTGAAAAGCTCTTCAAAGTATCTTAACTCAGATAAGAGTTACAAGAATATTCCTTTATAGCTCATCATTTTAACAGACAACATATATAATATTGCAATAATATTGCAATAATCCCTACACATTTACATATATGTTATCATGCAGAATCTTTTCAATAGATTTCCAAGAACATGATAATATCAAGTTGCCTCCAGGTCCCGGAATTTTCCAACTGAGGAACAAGAATCAAAGGAAATTTTCTTTTTCACTATGCAGATTTTAATGTCATCACTTGACTCATTTGTATTGTTTTTCTCCTACTTCAAAGTGGGACAAAGGGAGCTCAGTTCCTCATGTTCTGCCCTTGAGGGAGCCTTAAACTCGCATTTCAAGTTTGGCCCATAGCACTCCTGAAGGTACTGAAAGCAGTCCTAGGATTCTCTGTGCCAGCAAGATATTTTGAAAACACCACATGTACACAAAACAGAGAAATATCATTGCCTAGAAAACTGCTGTTTCCAAATGTTCAATTGAGTATAGTTTTTTTAAACTACCAGGAAATGCTGTGATATGACAGTGGAAGAGAATGATGGGGGATAAATCTTATTTCATGCATCACTTCTCAATCTATTGACTCCACGGACTGTAACTAAACTAAGAAAGAGACCACTCAGATTTATTAAATAGGTTGTTTGTATCGCAGATGAAGCACTTTCATGCTCTTCCACAGCCCACTTCCGCCCTCCTCTCTGACAAGGGAGAGATTACTAATCTCAGGGACCTGGCTCTTACTCCAGGGTCTCAGTTTCATTTAATTTATATATTGAGAGACAGGGTCTCTCAATAAATTGTCCACGCTGGCCTCTAACTTGCAATTCTGCTGCCTCAGCGTCCTAAGGAGATGGGATCACGTGTGCACAATCGCACCCTAGTTTTAGAGAGAACCTTCTCGCTTATACTCATTGTTTCAGTGCTATGCAGAATCTGGTTCCCAGCAGAGAACAGAGAGCTTTTGTCTGGAACATTCTTCTTGGCTCTAAGGAAGAATACCAGGATCCTATCCTATATCCTGCCAACCCTGCGCTACCTGCACATCCTGACTCCTGAGAGAAAGGGATGGGATAAAAAAAAACCCTGCGCATTGCTAAAGCCAAAGCCTATGTACCTTCTTGGTGCACCCAAAGACCTCTCTCCCAAAAGAGATCAAGCAGTATTGGAACTATTAATAAAGCAGCATCAGGGTTCCCATTTTGTCCTGTTCTTTGAGTGTACAGTCCTTGGAACGGTCGCTGGGAGAATGTTTATTATCAGGGCAAGGCTT